ACTGACTAAAAGCAAAAAGCGACAGTATTTTAAGGTACCGTATTTACTGTTACTTTCCGATAATATTGACCGTCAAAGCGGCTGTACTCGTTATCAACAGAAGCCGCCAAATTTCGGCCGCTCTTTTACGACACCTTTTGTAGGAAACCTAAGCTTTAATGTTTCAAGCACTTAATGTAGATTATTTTTATCTTTAATATTAAAACGACTTCAATTGTTTAAAATTTAAAACATATAATAATGAAATTGCATTCCATGTATTATACAATAGCAATATCATATTATAATACATATATAGGTAATGCCCGAGTTGGGAAATTGAACAGGTCAGCACCCCCTCCCAATACAAGTGCCCTCGCTACGCCTCTGGTTTTTGGAGATGGTGGCTATAAATGAATGTCCGCGCGCTATGAAGAGGATGACTGACATAGATGACCTGAGTGCAATATCCTTGATGACCTTCTTACATATTAAAATTACATAATAACAATAATATAACAACCACAAATTCAACCTTGTAACCCCTATCTTTATGAATTTTCTTATTTCTTATCTTAATAATTTTAATAATTAAGAAACAAAAGTCAAAAAAACAAATTTTTGGGAAATGGATCAAAACTGTTTCTTCACCAAATTAAGCCAAACTTTTGGCACTGGTTGTGATAAATGGATTTGTATTATAAATTAGATGATTTGCCTATTTATATTTTGAACTTGAAATTAATGTTGAATTGAAGACTTTGAAAAAATTGACATGTGCCCTTTTTGCAAATTATGCAAATTAGTATATTTTAAAAATAATATATTTCTTAAATACATCTCTAATTAACTCAAATATAAATCAAACATGAATAGGTAACATAAATACAATAACACTATACTTCGGAAAACCTATAATCTTCGGATTACTCGTTGGCAATGTTGATTGTAGGCCACTGGAGAATAGCATGGAAATAAGGTTTGTTATCTTCTGCAACATAAGCATTACATTTTATGTTTGTCGGAAGAGTTGGAAAGGCTATTACAGGTTGTGTCAAATTAAACGTATGCTACGTTAAACCATCAATAAAAGGATAGGCTTGAACAGTACCTTTTAGTTGAGACGTATATTTAAAACATGAAAAGGTGCTTATTTGAAAGTTAACCTTTTGAGTGCGAGGAAGAAGTCTAGTTTTCTCTGAGACACAGTTTTTTTTGTAAAATCTGCCCCACCAATTTTTGAAATCTAATAAGTCACTTGTTTCAACTTCTTTGACTGAAAATTTTTTATTCTTTTTGTACTTGTAAAAATAATTTCGGAAATCTGATGAACGTTGCATATTCATATTTGCATAGTGCATGTCATGTTTGCGCAAAATTTTTTTCACCATTGCCAAATCCCTCTCACAGGGGAGAAAAGAATGCTCTCTAACTGGGAAAAAGTGCCAAGTTGCTGGTAGGAAAATACCTCACCAACGGGCGTTGTTGGCAACTGGACGTTTTGCATGAAGTCGAACGCCACTGACATAACTTGCTCTTCATTTCCCGTTTCTTCAATGTCTTTGGTTATTTTCGAATAATTTTTTTACTCCTTCGTTTATGCACTTATTCTGCAACTGCGGTGCGCTTGCTCATTTAGATTGTGACCGGCCTTTTATCTTGCTGTTTAATAATTCGCAAATGGAACAAACATCAACTTGCGGCCGTCCAAAAGACAGATTAAAATTTTCGCGGAAGAAAGATCTATAAAATGAAAAGCTTACATTTTGGTTTGGATATTTTTCTAAGTAAAGCTGATGCATTATTGTCAAATTTAGCTGGCTATTTAAATAATGCTTTTCACGTCCTGAGTAGTGACTAATTTTCTTAGGAAATCATTGTATATGTTCTTTGACACACTCCCGAATTTCTTCTGAAAAGGTATTAGAGCTCGTTATTTTTCCACGTAAGTCATTTGGTGATTTGCCTTGTGAGGACAAGTTGTTAATTCTCCTAGTACGTAAATTCAAAAAAGCTTTAAGGCAGATCTCTATTTTGGAAGTCCCTGGAAATGAGTAGTACCTCTACAACTTTTTGATTTAGGTTTATTTTTGTCACCAGGCCGGGGACACCGCTGCTTTACTTCTATTACATCCACAAGACCCTGCAGAAATATATCTTGTTCGTTTTTAGAGCTCAAAGAATAAAATCGTTGAAAAATTGCCAATTTGGCTTCATTAAAGAACTTTTCAGAGCATTTCATCCTGCAACTAAAAAATAAAATTAAAAAACTATAAAAAATACACACTCTAAAAGCAACCCACCTACAAAGACTTTCGATCACTTTTTTTTTCAAGAACATATCTTCCTTTACTGTTTTTATACGATTTTCCCTCCAATCTTGCTTTTTTCTGTATGTTGCGAGCATACTTAGCAGGATCTGCTTTTCGTTTTTTATGTTTAGATGTTGATTCAGGATTGTCTTCCATAACAAGTGAAATTTTGCCCACGCACACTGTCCCTTAAACAACACATAACTAACTGAAGCTGAGTTATATGTATAACGTCCTATAACAAGTGAAATTTGGTCCACGCGTACGTCTCCCTTAAACAATAAAAAACCAACTGAAAACTGACGCCTCATTATACGTAAACTGGCCGATAAACTTGACACACCCCCACCAAATAATACACTAGCATCTTGCATAAACGGCACATGTCACTGACGTGTGTCCTTTATGCATAACGCGTTACATCGATAGCCGAGATTTCTAACAGGTAGAGTATGAGGACGTGCGCCGTTTATGCATACTCTGATGCGGATTCCATAAGAAAATAAATTTTAACGTAAATGTCAATTTGTGAAAAAATTGACATGTTCCCTTTCTGCATACACCGATAAATAATTATTACTTATTAATAAATATTAAATTAAACTAATAAAAAAACTTTCTAATACTACCAACTATTTTTTAATAGTTCTCCAGTATTTTTTAATTTACATAACATTACATGATAATCAATCTTAGATCCAACATTTTAATTCCCACAAACTTAAATATTTTCTTAATACTATTAACTGCTTTGTTGGTATAATCTTCTGTTTTCCCATTTTTCTGTTTTTTATTTTTCTTATAATTTTCTACAAAAAAGGTCTAACTGCTGCGTCTGTAGCCCTAGTCATGAGTGTAGGTAACCTCTCCCTCCTATATTATTTGGGAGCTTTGCACCTTCAGTGTATTGTCTCCTATTCAATTGATTATTTTAAAAAATCCTCAGCCTATGGCAGGTGGTACTGTGCGTGCTGCGTGCACCTACAGTTGGCATTACAAAGCTAGCCCGGTCTCTTGGTTGTTCGCTGTTCCTCTCACATTAACACTTGCCTTACCATTTGTCGAAAAAACTTTTAGTTAACCACTAAAAGGATTTATAAGTCAAAGAAAATTCGGTTTTTAAGAATTTTCATACTAACAATGTGTAAACAATAGATCTTGTATTTTATATAATAAAACACTGGATTTCCCTCATAACTTCTTTATTACATTTTAGTATTTAGGATTACGACACAAACATATGTATCGTGCGAGCGCACGGTACCGACTGACTGCTGCGGACGCCTCACTCCCAATCTTATCTCCCGTAACATTCTATCGCCTCTGTCATAAAAACCATGCGTTATGAATAATACAATCTGACATAATACATAAACCATAATTTGTTAATCATAACAATACACTATATAAACAAGGTACTCATAAAAATCATAACAAATGCGTCGACTCTCGAACACTCACACAATTCGCACCCATCGCGTGGTGCTGAGTTGTTGTGTATTTGGTGAGTGGGACAGTTGTTTCACCTGGAGATCTTTGTCGCATTTCGTTGATGATGTATGCAACGGAATGTTGACCATATCTTGTATAGATGCTACGAATTTTGTTAACTGCCCCTTCCCCAGTCCTTCTCGGACTGTTTTAAGGTGTATGGCACTAACATATTCCAGTGCATATCACCATAACAGGTGCCTTTGTGCACTTGTTCCTTCTCTTCACCCACCCTTCAGGACCAATGGTGGTTTTACCTTTGATTACTTGTTTAATTTAATCCTAAATAATTGCGTGGGGTGCACTGCTATTTTGGTGCATTGACGTTTCTTGGATTGATCAAGTCGCATTATTGTTTTTACTATTGTTATTCAATTGAGTCTCAATTTTTGATGTTGTTTGTTCGTCCCTCTACAGAGTGACTTTGTAAGTTTTTTTATATCCTATTGTAATATGTTACTAATGTTTACGTAAAATATTTTTTAAAATTTTTACAAATCAACATTTTGAACTTTTGCTTCACTCTCATCATTTTCGACAGATTGTTGTCGTCATTAACTCTTTTACATGTATCCCTTTTAACTTTTCAATGTGTCTCTTTTTCTTATTGAGAATTCAGTACCTCTTAAAGTTTTATAGGATTGTATAGTGATTTTTGAATTGTGCCTAATGTTTTTCTGGTTGCAGACATTTAGTAACATCTTTTTAATTGTAAATGTAATTGTTGTATAATGACCACCGCTTTTTTTCTCGCACGAGTAAGGGTGTTTTCAGATGTTTTTATAAGTGTGCGTACCTTGATCACTCCACTTTTCTACATGGCCATCCACATACTTAGTTTTTTCTAGGAATATAATAATAATATTAAATTGACGTGCGACAGCCCTTTTCTCCATCCATAGATAATGAACCACAATGGTATGTTCTGGGGTGGTGAAGAAGAGACTAGACGTAATTTTAATCACACACTAACATTTATTATACTAATTATACCAACTAAAAAACATATGTAAATGTACAGAAAAAAAATATATATCGTCTATGTTAAAAGTCTCTTTTACACTGATTTTTGTCGCGCGAGACGCGGTCGCTTCGGATTCTTCTTTCGACGTTGCCGGTACGCGTCATACCGCCCACCTTGAATGGTTGTAGTCATTTAAGTCATTCAACGCAACCACACAAATCCGATGCGATAACTATTAGTGCGGGTCACACACGTTACTCTGCTACAGGCAAAACGCATATTTTGCGAACCGCACGTTTTGCGATGCCCTTTGCCGTTTTTATAGTCACTACACGGACAACACCATCCGAACCTGGATGTATCTCTGATATTCGACCCAAAGGCCATTGTAATGGCGGTAAATTGTCATCCACTAGTACCACCATCTCACCCTCGGACACTTTGGCTGGGGTCGAATGTCCTTGGCCTGATCGCTGCTGAAGCTCGGTGAGGTAATCTCGTAACCATCGCTTCCAGAAATGCTGCGTGATCTGTGGCAGGTGTTGGAACTTGGAGAGACGTCCCATATTCAAATGGGAGAGGTCGGGTTCGGGTACTGCTACCAACGAGCTTCCAATCAGAAAGTAGCCAGGGGTTAACGGAGTTAAGTCGTCGGGATCGCTCGACAATGGCGAGAGCGGCCGCGAATTTAGACAAGCTTCTACCTGTACCAAACCCGTATAAAAGTCCTCATATGTCAGAGTAGATTGACCGATAACCCTTCGTAAATGGTATTTGACAGCTTTAACTGCCGATTCCCAAATTCCGCCAAAATGGGGAGCGCGCGGGGGGATAAAATGCCACGAAATTTGTTCAGTGGCACAGAATTCTGCAAAGGTATTCTGATTTTGGACTTGCGTAAAAAAACTTTCTAATTCATGATTTGCACCAATAAAGGTTGTGCCATTATCTGAATACATGTTTAAGCATTTGCCCCTTCGCGAGATAAAACGTTTGAATGCATTAAGGAATGAGTTGGTAGTTAAATCCACTACCAATTCCAGGTGCACAGCCTTAGTAAACAAACATATAAAAACACACAGGTATGCCTTTACAAGTTGTTTACTTCGTGACAATCCTACCTTTATGAAACATTCTGATTACGTTACTTATTTTGGGGTTCCGTTTTTGATTTTCAAGAGCTAATTGATGCAGACATCTGACTGCCAAAAAAGGCGCACATGAAGTACCATAAGTTACTGTGTTTAAAGTGTAAGCCTTCAGAGGCTCATCAGCATTCTTCCTCCAAAGAATTGATTGAAGATGTCGCTGATTATCATGCACATTTACTTGGCGGTACATCTTTGCACAATCAGCTGTTATGACATATTGATGTTTTCGGAATCTAAGTATAATGAAAACAGATCCTGTTGAATTGTAGGCCCTGTCATGAGTGCGTCATTAAGTGATAATCCTGATTCCGTTTTCGCAGAAGCGTCGAACACAACCCTGACCTTGGTAGTTGACGAGGACTCTCTAAAAACACAAGTATGCGGGAGATAATTCAACGTTGGATCTTCAGTATGAACTTCTGACATGTGGCCTAGCGTTTGATATTCATCAAGAAAGTCGGCATATTGTGCGTGTAACTCAGTGTTACTGCGCAACCGTTTTTCTAAAGACTTAAACCGCTTTAAGGCCATTGATTTTGACTCGCCTAACTTTGAACTGTCTATTTTTAATGGCAGTTGAACTGAAAATCTTCCATTTTCTTCACGTTTATGATTTAATACAAAATCATTCTCACAAGCCTTTTGCTCTAGGGACCAAACTGGTGATGATTCGACGTGTTCTATTCGCCAAAAGTTTTCTAATTGCTTTTGTAGTTCTGAATTGATAGAAAAATGACACACTGTCTTGCTTGGGATATTTACTGAAATGTTAGCTTGACCCGATAGAATCCATCCCAATTTGGTCTTTTGCGCAATAATCTGAGAATTTGTTAATTTTATCTGTCCAATACACAGCAAACTCCAAAAAATTGATGCGCCGAGTAAAGCATCAATTTTGGATGGCACATTGCACGATGGATCAGCCAATTTTATATTTTCTGGTATCTGAAGATTCGAAAAGTCAATGGTGTTCAAAGGCAGATTATCCGTAATTTAATCTATTACCAAAAAGGAGATCTATTTGGAAATTATTGTGAACAGATTAATGGTTGCCTGTACTTTATGGGAAATGTCTAGAGAAGCTTTACTCAGCCCTGAGACCGCAAGGTTTAATGTTTGCTTAGACAAATTAAGTTTCTCACATAGTTCTTTCGTAATGAAGTTACTCTGCGAACCTGAGTCCAGTAGGACCTTACATTGGTGATATCTACCAGAACTATCACACATAAAAACAATTGCTGTCGATAACAAAATCTCATCATTTTTGAAGGTAGTATGAGCTGATACTGATTTTTCTTGAACTGGATTATCAGTGCTTTTATTATTTTCAAAATGCAAGAGTACATGATGTTTTTTATTACAAACCATGCAAAGGTTTTCGGTTGTGCATGTCTGATATGAGTGACCAGCACCAAGGCAATTTGCGCATAACTTATGTTTCTTAGCCTCAGCGTATCGCGTCTTCGGAGACAAACTTAAAAACTTATCGCAAATTGTAATTTTGTGAGTTTGTTTACATATGACACACGCGGCCATCGCAAAATAATTTTGAGATTGCTCTTTATGATTAAAACTTTTTGTATTTTTGAAAGATGAGATATTAGATGGACTTTGTGATTTATTTTCCGGTTTTTTATAATTTATTGTTTGCAACAGAATGCACCTTTTATGCAAAAAATCGGTAAAATCCTTTGTTGTAGGAATGGTTAAGGGTTCTGAGACTACCTCCCACTCCCTTCTGGTGGAATTGTCAAGCTTTGAGCAAATTAAGTATATAAGTAGAGTGTCCCATTTGTCAACAGGCTCTTGCAATGATTCTAATGCTCTCACATTTTTATTAAAATTATCTAATAATTGCCTTAGACTGACATGTGACTCTCTGCTTAACTGATGTAGTTCAAAAGTTGCCTTTACGTGATTGTGTATAATGAGGCGTTTATTGTGATATGTATCCTTGAGCAACTTCCATGCTATGTGATAGTTTGGAGAAGTAGTTTCAAGACCAGATATCACATCAGCTGCCCCATTCTTTAAAGAACTGCGAAGATAATGAAATCGCTCTATATCGCTTAAAGTAGGATTGTCATTTATCAAGGCATTGAAAGAGTCATGAAAACTCATGTATTCATCATAATTACCGGTAAAAGTAGGTAGATCTATTTTCGGAAATTTAATACCTGGAATATGGTGTGGAGCCACCTGTTGAATGGATTGTGCTGAGTTTGAATTAGTCAAATTTAATTCTAAAATGCCGTTTGCATTTGCAATCACTTGGTAATATTTATCTTCAAACTCCGCACGTTCGTCAACGTTTGTGTCCTCGCCATTAACATCCTCATGCATCTCTATTTGCATTGGAACCTCATCGAATTCTTGCCACAACCTTTGACACTGTGCCATTCGTACTTTTAATTGATCATACTCATCAATGAAGTTATTTATAAAATTTTCAAAACGCGTAATTTGACCTTTTATATTCCCTCGCTTTTTCTTAAGAGTTTGTAAATTATTAGGATTCATTTTTTATTTACTTAAGAAATAATTAGTTTTAATATTTAAAAATAATACTATCGTAAAACTACCTATCTGGGATACGGGCAAAAACTCTGAACTTTATACGGAATTAGCGCAAATAGAAACAATCTAAATATAATGCGGATAGAAACGTTTATACGACCTGGTGAATCAATGCTCCTCGACGATGTTTCCCTCCAAAGCGGTACGGAACCATTCGATACGCTGAACACCCTCACCCACGGCTTAGATCCTTTTTCCTTGAATTCGACAACGCGGCCAATCTCGTCCCATATGATCCTTAAGACGGCGTTCTAGCCTCGCGATTCCACTCTATCGCGCTCCCTCTGCCGTACAAGGGTAACTCCTTACGAACCTGACGCCTGGGAACAAGGCTACTGCACCGGGAAGACGGTCTCGAGTTAATGGCTGCTTCGTCGGCCGGCGAAATTACCGATACACTTAACGATTTTCGCTGATTATCCGGCTCGAAGGACCAATGAACCACAGTGGTATGTTCTAGGGTGGTGAAGAAGAGACTAGACGTAATTTTAATCACACACTAACATTTATTATACTAATTATACTAACTAAAAAACATATGTAAATGTACAGAAAAAAAAATATATATCGTCTATGTTAAAAGTCTCTTTTACACTGATTTTTGTCGCGCGGGACGCTGTCGCTTCGGATTCTTCTTGCGACGTTGTCGGTACGCGTCAGATAATTTTTATAATTTTCTTGACTTTTGACATCCAACCAGTGACAGATGGATGTCAGAGTTGTCGTTTGTCGGTTGCTTTGCGCCTTCACGCCTTAGATTGAGACGCAATTGAATTTTACTCGAACATCTCTCAATTATTTCCAATGTTTTAAATAATAATCAGGCGGCTTAACCGCCTCAAGAGAGCCTCTTTTTGTGGTTGACTGGTCAGCGATGCTTTACGGTGGAGTTTTCAATGCATCCCTCGAGCCTATTTTTTAATGTAGTTTTTTATGAAGGTCTTATGTCACATGTATTTCAATTTCAGTGTCCTGAAGAAGGAATAAATATATTCTGAAAGCTTGACAATTAACAAAGTGTATTAATTCTATATATTTTTTGTACTATTCGACTTATTTATTTTTAGAGTCGTACTCAAGTTCCAAAAGAAGTTCTAAGTCTAGAGAAAACGAAGAGCTATGCAAAACTGCTCCACCAGATCATAGCTCATACACCTTAAGATGCGGAGATAAATAAGAAATACGTTGAAGTTTTAGGCGACAGCCCCATTAATCAAAATAAAAAAGAGGAAGCCTTACACGACGAATTGGTGTTACGCTTGTGGAACAACTTGTCACAGGGGCTGCCAGTCGAGAATCGGAAGGAATTGATTGTAAAATACCCTACCCCAGCAAACTGTGCTTCTCTGCAAGCACCCAAAATGAACAACCGAAATGAAAACCATCCTATCACTTCAAACTACGAAAAATTACACCTTTTTTTCAATTTGCAAGCACAAATAGGAGCCGGCATGACAGTCATTGGGTAATTTTAAGCAAGAAACTTAAAGAAGAATTGGTGCAAAAATTATCCGATGCATCGATTCTATTTGCTAGCGTACATCACGCCTTATCAGTGAAAAGGAAATGGGAGGTAAGTCCCTCTATCATTCAAGAGAGCAAAATAGAGCTCCACAGACGAATATCTTTTTGGTTCAGACTTCCTGGAAAAAGTAACCTCCTGCTAAGCAATGAAAAAAGTGGGACAAAATATTAAAAACAAACCTCTCAAATCCTCATATAACCAATCAGCCCCGGAAACATCAACAGATGGTCATCATTTAAACTCCAGGTGCCATGTATTCACCACCAAGATGAAAGGGGACCAGGACATGAGGATGAGGAGTCCGAAAACCAGCAGAGACCAGAAGAGGAGGACGTCCGAGAGAAACTCTCGTTACCATCGACATCAGCAGAAGACGTCGTTCTACAAGTAAAGGTACCACAAAGAATAGCTTGTCATTTAAAATATTTTTACAAAAATTGGCAAAAAATGATCCATAATCAGCAAATTTTAAGATGGATTAATGGTATAAAGATCCTTTGCTTATGCAACCAAAGCAGAAAGCTATTCCGTCAAAAACTATATCACCTATTGAGATATGAAGCTTTATGATAAAGAAATTACTAAACTTTTCAAAAAAGGAGCACTCTCAGGATGCAATAACCATAAAAATCAATTTTTATCATCTTATTTTCTTATCCAAAAGCCAAATGGAAAAAATCGCGTAATACTTAATTTAAAAAAGTTAAAAGACTTCATACCTACGAATCATTTTAAACTTGAAGACTATAGAACAGCGATCAAATTAATTACAAAAGATTGTTACCTAGCTAACTTAGATTTACAAGTCGCCTATTTTTTATTGCCAATTTATAAAAACCATAGGAAATATTTACGGTTTAAATTTATCGCCTTATATTTTTACTAAATTAATGAAGGAGGTTGCTAGACATCTTCGAATTTTAGGGTGTGAAATATTAATATATTTGGATGATATTTTGATCATTGGGGAAAATTATGATCAATGCTACAGAAGCATAAATACTATGATTAATCTTTTAAGTCACTTGGTATGGTAATAAATCATGAAATAAGCGTTCTTAAACCTATAAAAAAACTGCAGTTTTTGGGGTTCATTTTTGATACTCTTGAAATGACAATTAACCTGTCCGAAAACAAAATTACAATTTTATTAAAATTGCTTCATAAAACAAAAAATAAGAAAAATAAGAACCTTTGCATCGCTCGTTGGTAAATTATTGTCCATATCACCAGCGATAAATTATGGTTGGTTCCGCTTATCTATTAATAGCGACTATTAATAGAATGAGTAGCATTAAATTTAAACAGCTTAACAATATGGCTAAAATGTTATGGAGCTATTGTGAGAATAAAATTATTGTTATTTAGGCCTCTTATACAAATACAAAAGAAAACGTAGAAGCCGATTTTCTATCACGAGTTAACGAGTTATCAGTAGAGACCAATAGAGTATGAATTAAATCAAGAAGTGCCACTATAATCATACACAAATTAGGCAAACCACATATCGGCTTATTTGCATCCAAACTTAACTAAAAAAAATGTAATAAATATTTCCCATGGAGACCAGATCCCGATTCCGTATTAGTTGATGCTTTTACGACTAGCTGGGAAAACTTAAGTTTTACGGATTTCCACCTTTTTCCTTAATTTATAATGCGGCGCACAGTGTTTCAGAATCTTAAAGCAACTGGAATTTAATAAAGCCTGGGACATGGGCCAGCGCGGCAAGGAACGGGGCAGGTGAATTTTCTTTGAACTGTGTGGGTTGAGACTGCGATAAGGAGTACTACGTTACCTCTTATTTACGAAACGAGGCCGAAATATCATCAGACAAATGTCATTTGTCTTTAAAATCTTACACTGAAAAGATTTGAAAAGTGGTTAGTTTGATACGTTAAATTATTTTGCGTTTTGAAAGAAAATTCGAAATATAAAAAATGCTTATGAGAATTACCAAAGTTATGTAGTTTGACATTACATATTTTCTACCTTGAAATTATTTCTTAATCTTAGACAGCGGAATTAAGATATTTGATTAATTTTCTGAAATCTTGTAAAAAAAGCTAATTTGATTTGAGTTATACTTTTAGTAACCAAAGGTAACTATAAGGGGTATTTATTTTTGTATTCCGTTGTATTTCTTGTTAAATACAGCCTCTTACAGCCTTCTAAGCAAATACATGTTTTTAGGTAACCCTCATATGTTTACAAGACATCAATTTTTTGATGTTTTAAAAAGCATTGGAACAATGAAACCATCCAGTAAAGAGTCACAAAGTATTTTATTCAAAGAAGTCATTAAATTTGTTCATGAAGAATCCCTTACGGATGGCGAATTAAAATTAATTGACGCCTGTCTTCGAAATTTTGGTATAGTTCTTTACCGAAAATGGAAGAAAAGTGGATTTAATTTATCTAATTTCTTAAAATCAAATAGGGCATGGCTAACACAGTCAATTTTAGCTACAGGGGTGTGTGACGAAATATCGAAGACACGAGGCCGCCCAAAAATTGAATTTGAAAATGCTGGTATGAAAACCAAGAAAAAAATTGTTACACCTCTCATACAAAACTATTCCAAAGATGAATTAGTTCTTGCCACCGAAGTTAGTCTAAGAGCATCTGGTAGCCGTGACTCTACTTTAGTTATCAACAAAGTTGCTTCTTCAGCTAAGATAGGTACAGAACTTAAAAATGCCCTTAAACAAACAGAAACAGATGAACAAAATTTCTCCCCAGAAGAAGCTCTTGCCTTAATTGTTGACCTTAAATTATCTCATGCTCAGTACCAGCAACTCAGGTCCCTTTTGGCAACAAAGGGTTTAAAAAAAATGCTTCCAAGCTACCACGATGTCCTTGCAGCTAAAAAACAGTGTTACCCAGAAGGCACTTCAATAATTGATAGGTGTGCAGAAGTAAATCTTCAGTTTCTTTTAGACCATACTGTTCAGCGATTAATCAGATCAGATCAGAAAGATATGTTCCGTTCATTTGGTTTAGATAGTGATGGTGGCACATTTTCAAATAATTTAAAAATGACTCATAAATGGGGTGCTGATGGTAGTGGTGCTAAAAGTTCTTTTAAACAAAGATTTGACAATGACATTTTTGACGATACCAATAGTTTGACAAATTCAATAGTTCCTTTGCGTTTGATGTCGGAAAGTGTTGATCAGAACGTTATTTTCTGAAAAAACCCACGAATATCATCAACTAGTCTTAACGTTTGTGGTCTTCGGACGATGGTTTTCTCCTCCTTACTTTTTTAATGAAAGCTCTTAGAAAATAAATTTGTAATTCTATATTTTTTAACGTGACAGCTTCCATCTTTTATACCGTGTTAGCGGCAACGCCATGACAACGCGTTCTCTCTTGTCCCTACGCACTCTATCAAAACAACTATTTTTTTGTTAAA